GCCTGGGAGCAGAGCGACGCGAGAGCCCCACGGCCTCCTGCCTGCGAGCTGAACGGAAGCAGCCCTGGGCTGAGACGAATCTCCGTCTCTGCAGCTCCTGATTGGGTTGCACAGCATCACGGAACTGCGGAGCTTGGAAGGGACCTCCAGAGCTCATCGCGTCCAACCCCATCCACAGCAGGTCGCACAGGTGGGCGTCCGGGCGAGTCCTGCACATCTCCAGAGCAGGAGACTCCACAGCCCCCTGGCAGCCTGCGCCAGCGCTCCGTCACCTCGCCTGAAGAAGTTCTTGCGCACCTTGGTGCCCAACTTCCTCTGCTGCAGCGGATTTGAGGCTCTGCAGGTTCCACGGTGACAGTGAGACCTGCAGGGACAGGCGGTTGTCCCAGTGGCACCCGGTGGCCCTGGGGGCTTTGCACAGGGATTTGGTGAGAAGCATCCATTTCTGAAAGGAAGTGGGGAAACGATACAGCAGAAGTGACACAGTACTGATTTTAATGGAAACAGACATTTTGGGGGCGATCTCAGGGGGACAAAGCAGAGCGAGAACGTCTTGCTGTGTGAGGTTGTGCTCAAAATCCCCATTGGCGACCTCTGGAGGACTGCAAGAACCCCTGGGGACACAAAGACATCCTTGGACGTCTCCAGACCCTCCCGGAAGACAACGAGACCCTCTGAACCCACCTGAGGAGCCCCCAGATGGCACAGGATCATTCTGGGCCACCTCCAGACCCTTCTGGATGAATCCAAGGACACCTTGGAGCCACCTGGGACCAACTGGGTGCCCAAAGCCCTCTAGGACATCTCTAGATTCTTCTGCATGACTCCAGGGGTGGACAGGAGGCCCATGGGGAATCCATGGGGGGAAAGGTGTGAGTGGGGCTTCTGTGAGGTGGAAAGAGGGTCTGGAGGTGGAGCAAGGTTGGAAGGGGGGAAGTGAGGGATTGTGGGGGGTTTCTATGGTGTGGAAAGGGGGTCTGGGGATGGAGACAGGGGGCTGTGAGGGGGAAAAGAGCAGAAGGAGGCTTCCGTGAGTGAAAAGGGGGCCTGGGGATGGAGGGGTACGTTGTGGAGGGGAACTTGAGGGGTTGAAAGGGGGAAAGGGGCTTTTGTAGGGTGAAAAGGGGGGTCTGGGAGTGGACAGGGGGTTTTGTGGGGGAAAATAGGGGTGAGTTGGGTCTCTATTGGGATGAAAGGGGGTCAAGGAGTGGAGAGGGGTTGGCAGGGGAAATCTGGAGGGTTGTGGGGGCTTCTATGGGGTGGAAGGGGGGTCTGGGGGAGACCTTAGGGAAGTACTGGGGGGGAGAAGAGGAGAGTGGGATGTCTGCACAGGGGGTGCAGGGGACTGTAGGGGTCAGGAGGTGGGGGGAGAAGGGAGGATACGGGGCCCTGGGGGTCAAACAGAGGGGAATGGGGGGTGGGAGGAGACTCTAGGGATCAGCTTGGGGGATTTGGAGTGGGGGGCACTCGGGGGGAGGAGAGGGGATTCTGGGGGTCAGATAGAGGGGACTGGGAATGGGGGAGGACTGTAGGGGACAGAATGGGGAGACTGGTGGGGGGTGGGGTGAGATGAGGGATCAGAACGAGGGACTGGGGAGGGATGAGGGAGTGGGGGGGGGAACCTGGGGGTCAGAATGGGGGAGGCAGAGAAGGGAGGGATGGAAGAGGACTGCAGTGATCAGAATGGGGGAACTGTATGGGAGGGGACTGGGGGGAGGGCATAACCCCGGGGGTCACACAGAGGGACCGGGGGGGTGCGGGCGATGGGCAGCAGGGGGAGAGGGGGGGAGGGCAGCGAAACACACGGGGTGGGGGAGGTGGTGCGGGACGTGGGGTGCGGGGCACGGAGCTGGGGACCCTCCCAGCCTTAGGGGTGGCCTCTGCCCGGCAGGGACAGACACGAGCGGTGCCTGCTGAGCGTGGGGACGAGGACACGGACACAGAGCGTGGCTCTGCTGAGGGCTTTATTGACCTCTGGAGGATGTCGGAGATCAGGTCCCCTGGGGGCAGCAGCCCCTGTCCCACCCCTGGCGACCCTGGGCCATCCCTAGGGCACCTCGAGACCCTCCTCCTCGGCACGGCTGTCCAAAGCATGAGGGAAGCTGTGGGGTGGCAATGGTCGCCCTGGAACGGGGCGGGGATGGAGCCCTCGTCCCATCCATCCGCAGCGCTCGGGGCTCCAGGGATCCCCAGGGTCCCTCAGTGTCCCTGTTCCGGTGCCACCCTTATCTCACAGACTTCTTCCTTGCGTCCAATCTAAAGCCTCCTTGTGTCCTTCCTGATGTCCAGGCTAAAGGTGAAGAGGAAAGGCTGTGAGGGCGCTTCCCCAGAGAGCAGTTTCAAAAAGGGACGCGTGCAGAGAACCCCGAGGGAAAGCAAGGCAAACCTCGCGATGACTGCTGCAGAGCTGCAAGGAGAATTCACTGCCAGAAATCGCTGACAGCCCCGTGATGGAGATTCACAGCATCAGCCGCAAGGTTGTCTTGCAATTAAAAACAGTAATTACAAACCATCTGGATTTTTGAGCTGACTGTTGCTACGAACATCAGTAGGGGGCTCTGCTAAATGGCGCTGCAGTCTCCTACTCGTAACATCCCTGCTGCGTCACTCTGGGTGCCGTCGCTGAGCAGCATCTGATGGAAGTTCTTCCCTGCTCAGCTGCCTGCCTCGCTTTGAGCCCCGACGGCAACGGCGTGATGGCAGGCTTCGTTTTGCTGCTTTCTCCTCGTCAGAATACTTTTGTGAAGGAAGCTCCCTCCTTCCCTCCTTCCCTTCCGGAGCAGCAGGAGGCCGCTGGTTGTCACGGGGACGGCGCGGAAAGGTGGAGTGCTGGAAGGGCTGGGCTGGGAAGGGACACGAAAGACACAGAGAGGCTGTCAAAGGAGAAAGGAAATGGCCGCAGTGCTGTTTGCGCTGCTTCGTGCAAATCAGGAGATTCCCTTTTCTCCTTTAGTGCCAAAGCAGAAGCCGGTTCTTCGGTGACATTTCCTCTTCAACTCCCCCCCCCCTCCCCCCTACCTCCCATTTTCTCCTTCCTCCCCTCCCCTCCCCTGCCCCCTCTTTCCTCTTTTCCCCTCCCCTTCCCTGTTGCCTTATTCTTCTTTTAGCTCTTATTCTTCACTTTTTACTTGGCTTTGTTTCGTTACCTTTTTCCTTTTTTTTCCCTTTCTTTTTACCGACATCTGTACAACCACGTTCTCCTCTATCCTCCCCCAGCCCCCTACATCCCCCCCCACAGCTCTCCCCAGCCCCTGGAGCCCCTCCACAAACCCCCCCAAGGGCCGCCCCAAAGAAGCCGTGTGCTGGGCTGCAGCCGTCCACAGGACTGTTTCCCTATAGCACCGTGTCCCCCCGGCACCTCCTCACAGCCCCCTATTGCCCCCAATCCCCCAGACCCACCCCTGCAGCCCCGTGTACCCCAATCCCCCCAATTACAACCTCCCCAATTAACCCCCCTCTGATTATAACCCCCACTCCAACCCCCCCACACAAGGACCCCCCCTCTGTTGCCCCTCCCCCCAACATTCCAACCCCCCCAAATCCAGCCCCCCTCAATTAACCCCCCCAATTACAACCCCCCCAATTAACTCCTCCTGATTATAACCCCCACTCCAAACCCCCCCACTCAAAGACCCCCCACTGTAGCCCCTCCACCCCACATTCCAAGCCCCCCCCCCCACTCCAGCCCCCCCCAATTAATCCCCCCTGATTATAACCCCTACTCCAACCCCCCACTCTAAGACTTCTTCCCCCCCCCCCCCCCCCCCAATTAACCCCCCTGTTAATTACCCCCAGCGAAGCGGGTTTGCCTCGGTGAGTCCCTGGCCTGGATGGAGATTTTCCTTTTCCTCATCACCATTTTGCAGCACCTGCAGCTGCAGCCCCTGCAGCCCCCCGACGAGCTGTCAGACAAAGCGCTGCAGAGCGGCTTCGCCAACATCCCCCCCCCCTCTACCAGCTCAGGGTGCTGCCCTGCTGAGACCCCCCCCAATTCAAGGGACCCCCCCAAAATGGAGGGACCCCCCTCCAATAAAGGGACCCCTCCCCAAAATGAAGGGAACCCCATCAAAACGAAGGGACCCCCTCAATAAAGGGACCCCCCCCCCTACCAGCTCAGGGTGCTGCCCCGCTGAGACCCCCCCCAATTCAAGGAACCCCCTCCAAAATGGAGGGACCCCCCCCCAATTCAAGGGACCCCCCCTTTCTACCAGCTCAGGGTGCTGCCCTGCTGGGTCCCCATACAAATAAAGGAACCCCCCCCCCCCCCATACAGGGACCTCCCCAAAAATGAAGGGGCCCCCCAAATAAAGGGACTTTTCCAAATAGAGGGATTCCCCCCCAATAAAGGGACCCCCCCTCTACCAGCTCAGGGTGCCCCACTGAGACCCTCCCCAAATAAAGGGACCCCCCCCCGTCCCCAAAGAAGGACACCCCCCACACACACACTGCTGGGAGCCCAATAAACGGCTGCCGAATGCACACAGTGTGTTGGGTGTTTTATCTGGGGGGGGGCTGCACCTGCAAAGCCTGCGGTGACCAGGCAGTGAGTGCAAAGCCTGCAGCAAGCACTGAGCGCTGTGCAAGCACTGCAAAGCCTGCAGCGGGCGGGAGGAGCGTGCAAGGAGCAAAACCAGCATGCAAAGCTCGAAGGGAGCATGCAAAGAGTATGGAGAGCAATGCAGAGCCATGCAGAGCCATGCAGAGCCATGCAGAGCCATGCAGAGCTGCCAGCAGAGCAATGCAGAGCCATGCAGAGCTGCCAGCGGAGCAATGCAGAGCAATGCAGAGCAATGCAGAGCAATGCAAGCAATGCAAAGCAATGCAGAGCTATGCAGAGGCATGCAGAGCAATGCTGAGCTATGCAGAGCTATGCAGAGCTATGCAGAGGCATGCAGAGCAATGCAAAGCCAGCAGAGCCCCAGCAGAGCCATGCAGAGCCATGCAAAGCAATGCAGAGCAATTCAGAGCAGTACAGAGCAATGCAGAGCCATGCAGAGCTGCTGGCAGGCGTGCAAATGGTGCCCAGAGCAACGCGGGGCCCCAGAGCGGGGGTGGGGGCTGCAGGGGGGGCTGCAGGGGAGGAGGGGCTGGTTTGCACAACGGGAAGCAAAGGTTGCAGGGCAGGGCCAAAGTCTGCTGTCCTTGCAGGCCGGGTGCAGCAGTGCAGGTCGGTGGGGAGGGGAGGGGGGTGTGAAAATGGGGGGGTGCAAAAAGGGGAGGGGGTTTGCAAAAGGGGTAAAGGGTGCAAGAAGGGGATAAAGGGAGATGCAAAATGGGTCAGGGATTGCAAGGACGGGGTGCAGAAAGGGGGTGAAGTTTGCAAAGGGGGGGGGGTGTTTGCAAACAGATTGGAAAAAGGAAATGAAGTTTGTGAAAGGGGACTGGAGTGCAGGAAGGAGATGAAGTCCGCAAATGGGGGAGGGGTCCTGCAAAAGGGGGGGGGGGGCCGCAAGGCAGTGGGGGTTTGCAAGGAAATGGGGTTTGCAGCAGTGGGGTTTGCAGCACACAGGGTGCAGCAGCAGAGCACTGGCACCAAGGTCACTCAAGGTCACACAGCGCCCCCATTGACCCCAATGATGTCCCCCCCGTGTCCCCAATGCCCCCCACTACCCCCAATTCCCCCCACTGCCCCCCACCACCCCCAATGTCCCCATTGCCCTCCAATATCCCCATTGCCCCCGATGTCCCTCATTGCCCCCCATTGTCCCCACTGCCCCCATTGCCCCCCGTTACTTCCCAATATCCCCATTGCCCTCATTTCCCCCCACCGCCCCCATTTCCCCCCACTGCCCCCAGTGCCCCCATTCCCCCCTGTTGCCCCTAATGCCCCCACTGCCCCCCAATTGCCCCCATTTCCCCCCACTGCCCTCATTTCCCCCCATTGCCCCCAATGTCCCCACTAACCCCAATACCTCCAATCTCCCCCCCCCTCCAATCTCCCCCCCCCTCCCATCTCCCCCCCCCCTCCCCCACAGCCCCATGGAGGCTCCATGGCTCTCATGGCTGCTGCTGCTGCTCCTGCTGGCCCTGTTGGTTCGGCGCTGTTGGATGGAGGGGGGGCGCAGCCGCCATCTTTACCCCCCCGGGCCGCTGGCGCTGCCCATCGTGGGGAACCTCCCCCAGGTGGGGCTCGGGAACATGGCCGCCGCCGTCCGTAGGGTGAGTGTGGGGGGCTCGGGGCCCATAGGGCACCCCATGCATTCTGGGACCCCCAGAGGGCAGCCCGTAATTCTGGGACTCCCATTGACCGCCAGTGCCTCCCGTTGACCCCCATCGACCTCCGTCGAACCCCAATGCCTCCCATTGACCCTCAATGACCCCCAGTGCCTCCCATTGACCCCCATTGAATGCCAATGCCTCCCATTGACTCCCATCAACCCCCAGTGCCTCCCATTGACCCCCAGTGCTTCCATTGACCCCCATCAACCTCCACCGACCCCCAATGCCTCCCACTGACCCTCATTGACCCCCCACTGACTCCCAACGCCTCTCATTGACCCCCACTGGCCCCCAATGCCTCCCATTCACCTCCACTGACCCCCAATGCTTCCATTGACCTCGTTGACCCACATCAACCTCCATCGACCCCCAATGCCTCCCATTGACCCTCATCGACCCCCTTTGCTCCCCCCCAGCTGAGCTCTCGCTACGGCCCGGTGCTGTCGCTGCGCCTGGGCTCAGAGCGGGTGGTGGTGGTGAGCGGCGTGGAGGCGCTGCGGGAGCTGCTGGTGACCAGGGGGGACGAATTCACCAGCCGGGGGCATTTTGCCATCGGGGAGAAGCTGAGCGCAGATCTGGGGCTGCTCATGAGCAATGGGGACAAATGGATCAGCATGCGGAGATTCGCCCTGACGGCGCTGCGGGACGCAGGGATGGGGAGCAGGAGGGCAGAGGAGATGGCGATGGAGGAGGCGGCTGAGCTGATCCGAGAGCTGGAGAAGGGGGGAAGTGAGCGGGGGATCTAAAATGGGGGGTGGGACCCCAAAAACAGTGCAGAGACCCCAAAAATCGTGGGTGTTGGATCCCAATATGGGGGTGGTGGGACCCCAGAATGGGAGGAGGAACCCTAAGGGGGGCGTGGGACCCCAAGAAGAGAGGATGGGGTCCCTGAATGAGGGGAGATGGCAGTGGAGGAGGCAGCTGAGCTGATCAGGGAACTGGAGAAGGGGGGAGGTGTGTGTGTGGGGGGGGTCCCAAAATGGGGAGGGACCCCAAAATGGGGAGCATGTGGAGCCCTGAAATGGAGGCAGATGGCGGTGGGGGAGGGATACGAGGGTTATGGGGACCGTGGGGGTCATGGGGCCACGGGGTCCATGGGGTTCTGGCTTCATGGGGCTCAGCACCCCCCTCGCCCCACAGCTGCAGTGCAGGAGCCCTCGGAGCTGCTGAGTGCGGCGGTGGGGAACGCGGTGCTGCGGCTGCTCTGCGGGCGCCGCTTCCCATACGGGGATTCGGGGTACCGCGATGCGCTGCGCCGCATGGCCGAGAACACCCGCATCGAGAGCTCCGCCGTGGGCAAGGTCAGAGGTCACGGGGTCAGGGGGGTCAAGGTTCAGGGGGGTCATGGGATCATGGGTCAGAGGGGGGGCAGTGGGTCACGGGGGTCAGGGGTTGGGGTGTGGTGGGGTCAGGGGGGTCATGGGGTCATGGGGGGGTCGGGAGTCAGAGGGGGTCATGGCGTCATGCGAGCAGGGGCCAGAGGGGGTCAATCAGAGGGGGTCACGGGGTCAGAAGGGGGTCAGGGGGTCCCGGGGCTCAGGGGTCGGGGTGTGGTGGGGTCCCGGGGTCGCGTTGTCAGAGGTCACGGGGTCACGGGGTCATCTCTGGCCTGACCCCCAGCTGTACAACGCCCTCCCGGCGCTGCTGGATCTGCTGCCCGGCGCCCATCGGCGCTACTTCCGCAACATCGCCCGCGTGTGCAGCTTCCTGGACGGCGTCGTCGCGGGGGGGGGAGGAGAGAAGAGCGGCGAAACATCGCGAGATTTCGTCAGCGCCTTCCGGCGGAAGATGGAGGAGGAGGAGGTGGGGGGGAGGGAGGAAGGACAGGGGGGAGAGGGGGGAGGGGGGGAGGGGCTAAAGAGATTGGGGTTGGGATTGGGATTAAGGTCAGGATTAGGGTTAGGATTGGGATTAGGACCAGGTTTAACATCAGCCTCAATATCAGGCTTTGTATTAGATTAATATCAGGGTTAATAGCAGGATCGGTATCAGGTCGGTATTAGCGCTAACGTCAGGCTGATTGCAGCACTAATTAACGTCAGGCTGATCTCAGCGCTAATTAACACCAGGCTGATGATCTCAGCGCTAATTAACACCAGGCCCCAATCCCATCGCAGGCCACCCCCGGGTCGCCGTTCACGGCCACCAACCTGCAGGTGTCGGCCTTCGATCTGTTCCTGGCCGGGACGGAAAGCACCAGCCTGGCGCTGAGATACGGCATGATGGCGCTGATGGGGAACCCCGCCATCATGGGTGAAGCATCATGGGATATCGGGGGCATCATGGGATATTTTGGGCATCGTGGGGTATTGGGGCATCATGGGATGGAAAGCACCAGCGTGGCACTGAGATACGGGATGGTGGCGCTGATGGGGAGCCCCGCCATCATGGGTGGGGCATCAGGGGAGATTGGGGCGCTGTGGGATATTATGGGGTCAGTGGGGTCAATGGAGTCAGTAGAGTCAACGGGGTCAATGGTGAAAATGGGGTCACTGGGGTCAATAAGCATCAATGGGGTCAATAGGAATCAGTGGGATCAATGGGGATCAATGGGGTCAAGGACCCCCTGGCCCCAAGACCCCACTGTGACCTCTCGACCCCTCCACGACCCCTGCATGACCCTGTGACCCCTCGCTGGCTCCATGACCCCTCCATGACCCCGTGACCCCACTCAGAGCGGGTTCAGGAGGAGCTGGATCGCGTTGTGGGGCCGGAGCGGCTGCCATCCTTACGGGATCGCCAGGCGCTGCCCTACACCGACGCCGTCATCCACGAGGTGCAGCGGCACCTGGACCTCGTCCCGCTGGGGTTCGTCCGCACCGTCACCAGGGACACCCCCTTCCGGGGGTACATCATCCCCAAGGTGCGCTAATTAGGGGCTAATTGGCCTGTGGAGGTGATTAGGTGGGGGGTGGGGGCGCTTGGTGGGGGGTAATGGGGTCATTGGTGGAGAAATGGGGTCATTGAGGGGGGAAGGTTGGGGGTCAGTGAGGGAGTGGGATACAGCGTCCCCATTGCCCCCACTGCCCCCAATGCCCCCATTGCCCCCACTGCCCCCACAGCCCTCAATGCCCCCACTGCCCCCACTGCCCCCACTGCCCCCACTGCCCCCATTGCCCCCAATGACCCCATTGATCCCCACTGCCCCCATTGATCCCCTACTGCCCCTACTGCCCCCACTGCCCCCACTGCCCCCAATGCCCCCATTGCCCCCAATGCCCCCATTGCCCCCACAGCCCCCAATGCCCCCACTGCCCCCACTGCCCCCACTGCCCCCATTGCCCCCATTGCCCCCACTGCCCCAAATGACCCTAATGCCCCCACCGACCCCACTGCCGCCATTGCCCCCAATGACCCCATTGATCCCCACTGCCCCCATTGATCCCCTACTGCCCTTACTGCCCCCACTGCCCCCACTGCCCCCATTTCCCCCATTGCCCCCACTGCCCCCAATGCCTCCACAGCCCCCACTGCCCCCAATGCCCCCAATGCCCCCACAGCCCCCACTGCCCCCACTGCCCCAAATGACCCCAATGCCCCCACCACCCCACTGCCACCATTGCCCCAATGCCCCCACTGACCCCACTGCCCCCCCCCCGCCCCCTCAGGGCAGCACCATTTACCCCCTGCTGAGCTCAGCCCTGATGGACCCCCACTACTTCCCGGACCCAGAGCGCTTCGACCCGCAGCATTTCCTGGATTCTGAGGGGAAATTCCGCCGCTGCGAAGCCTTCATGCCCTTCTCTGCAGGTGGGGCTGGGACCCACGAGTGGGGCTGGGACCCTGAGTGGGACTTTGCAACCCCCCAAGTGTGGCTCTGGGACCCCCGGTGGGTCTGTGTGCCTCCCACGAGCTGCTGACACGGTGGTGGCTCCGCAGGAAGGCGGATGTGCCTGGGGGAGCCGCTGGCGCGGATGCAGATCTTCATCTTCCTCACCGCCCTCCTGCAGCGCTTCCGGCTGTGCCCCCCCCCCGGGGAGGAGCCCCCTGAGCTCCGGCCCGACATCGGCGGCATCACCAACATCCCGCCAGCCCTGCGCCTCCGCTTCTGCCCGAGATGAGACCCCCCGAAATGGGGAAGACCCCACCCCAAAGAGGGCACACCTCCCAAAAAGGGGGAGACCCCCTCAAAAGGGGAGACCCCCCCCAGAGACCCCTTCTGGCCACGGTGAGACCTCAACCCCGAAATGGGGAGACCCCCAAAAAGGGGGCGACCTCCATTGTAGGGGGGGTGTGCCCAAAATCCTTCATCCCGAACCCAAATGGGGATGGAGACGCCCCCCCCGACCCCAATTCAGACCCCTACAACGACCCCATATTTCCCCCCAAGAACCTGCGGGTCGCGCCCCTCCCCCCTCCCCAATAAAACTGTATCCTTCAATCTGCTCTCTCCCACTCTAAGGCGTAGAGGTGGGGGCGGGGAAAAGGGGGGGGGGGGGGGGCTGATGGCTTGGTGAGGGTGCCAGTATTGGGGGGGGTCCCATAGACCGCCTCGCCTTCACGGGGTGGGGGCGCGGCGTTGGCCAGGTTAGGGCGCTGCTGGCCCTGCCCCTCCTTCCAGTCACGCCCACACTACGCGTAACCCCTCCCCTCGGCCGTCTTTGAGCCAATCGCAGGGCTCCATCACACCTTAAACCCGCCCTTCTCCTGGCACTTCCTGTCACGCAGGGACACTAAAGCCGGAAGCGGCTTTGCTGGGCGCCGCCATATTGTGTCCGCTCCGCTTCCGCACTGCCCGGCGGCGGCCCCACAGCCATGTCCGAAACCTACGGTGGGCGGGGGGGCCGTGGGGGGTCCTGTGGGGGGTCCTGTGGGGGCCTATGGGGCGGGGAGGGCTGTAGGGCCGCGTCGGGGGCGGCTGGGGGGGTTCCTATGGGGTTTACAGGGGGCCCTTAGGGGGGCTGTGGTGTCCGTGGGGCATTTGTGTGGGATTGGGGGTCTGTATGGGGTCTGTGGGGTCCTTGTGGGCTCTATGGGGATGTGGGGGTCTCTATGGGGTCCCTTTGGGGTCTATGGGCTCTATGGGGTCCCTATGGGATCTGTGGATACCTATGGACTCTCTGAGCTTTATGGGGTCCCTATGGGGCTTTGTGGGTCTCTGTGGGGTTGGGGATCCCTATGCAGTCCCTATGGGATCCCTATGGACTCCATGGGGCTGTGTGGGTACCTGTGGGGTCCCTATGGGGTTCCTATAAGGTCCCAATGGGCTCTAATAGGGTCCCTATAGGTGCTATGGCTCTGTGGGGTCCCTATGTGTCCCAGTGTGTCCCTATGGGTGCTACAGTCCCTATGGGCTCTATGGGGTCCCTATGAACACTATGGGATCCGTATGGGGTCCCTATGGGTGCTATGGCTCTATGGGGTCCCTGCGGGGTCCCTGCAGGGTCCCTATGGCTGCTATAGCTCTATAGTGTCCGTGTGAGGTCTTTGGGGTCCCTATGGGGTCTGTGGGATCCCCATGGAGTCCCCATGGAGTCCCCATGGAGTCCCCATGGAGTCCCCATGGAGTCCCCATGGAGTCCCCATGGAGTCCCCATGGAGTCCCCATGGAGTCCCCATGGAGTCCCCATGGGGTCTCTATGGGGTCCCCATGGGGTCTCTATGGGGTCCCTATGGGTGCTGTAGCTCTATGGGGTCCGTGTGGGGGCTATGGGGTCCCTATGGGGTCCCTATGGGGTCCCTATGGGGTCCCTATGGGGTCCCTATGGGTGCTATAGCTCTATGGGGTCTGTGTGGGGTCTATGGGGTCCCTATGGGGTCTGTGGGGTCGCTGTGGGGTTGCTATGGACTCTATGGGATCCGTATGGGGTCCCTATGGGTGCTATGGCTCTATGGGGTCCCTATGGACTCTATGGGGTCTCTATGGAGTTCCTGTGGTCCCTGTGGGCTCTATGGGGTCCCTATGGGGTCCCTATGGGTACTGTAGCTCTATGGGGTCCCTATGGGGTCCCTATGGGTGCTATAGCTCTATGGGGTCTGTGTGGGGTCTATGGGATCCAATGGGGTCTGTGGGGTCCCTATGGACTCTATGGGATCCGTATGGGGTCACTATGGGTGCTATGGCTCTATGGAGTCCCTATGGAGTTCCTGTGGTCCCTGTGGGCTCTATGGGTTCCCTATGGGTGCTGTAGCTCTATGGGGTCCTTACGGGGTCCTTACGGGGTCCTTACGGGGTCCTTACGGGGTCCTTACGGGGTCCTTACGGGGTCCTTACGGGGTCCTTATGGGGTCTGTGGGGTCGCTATGGACTCTATGGGATCCGTATGGGGTCCCTATGGGGTCCCTATGGGTGCTATAGCTCTATGGGGTCCCTTTGGGGTCTATGGGGTCCTTATGGGGTCTGTGGGGTCGCTATGGACTCTATGGGATCCGTATGGGGTCCCTATGGGTGCTATGGCTCTATGGGGTCCCTATGGACTCTATGGGGTCCCTATGGAGTTCCTGTGGTCCCTGTGGGCTCTATGGGGTCCCTATGGGTGCTGTAGCTCTATGGGATCCCTATGGGGTCCCTATGGGTGCTATAGCTCTATGGGGTCCCTATGGACTCTATGGGGTCTCTATGGAGTTCCTGTGGTCCCTGTGGGCTCTATGGGGTCCCTATGGGGTCCCTATGGGTGCTGTAGCCCTATGGGGTCCCTATGGGGTCCCTATGGGGTCCCTATGGGTGTTATAGCTCTATGGGGTCCCTATGGGGTCCCTATGGGGTCCCTATGGGGCCCCTATGGGGTCCCTATGGGTGTTATAGCTCTATGGGGTCTTTGTGGGGTCTATGGGGTCCCAATGGGGTCTGTGGGGTCCCTATGGACTCTTTGGGATCCGTATGGGGTCACTATGGGTGCTATGGCTCTATGGGGTCCCGGCGGCCCACAGCCATGTCTGAAATCTACAGTGGGCGGGGGGGCCGTGGGGTGTCCTGTGGGGGCCTATGGGGGCCTATGGGGGCCTATGGGGCGGGGAGGGCTGTAGGGCCGCGTCGGGGGCGGCTGGGGGGGTTCCTATGGGGTTTACAGGGGGCCCTTAGGGGGGCTGTGGTGTCCGTGGGGCATTTGTGTGGGATTGGGGGTCTGTATGGGGTCTGTGGGGTCCTTGTGGGCTCTATGGGGATGTGGGGGTCTCTATGGGGTCCCTTTGGGGTCTATGGGCTCTATGGGGTCCCTATGGGATCTGTGGATACCTATGGACTCTCTGAGCTTTATGGGGTCCCTATGGGGCTTTGTGGGTCTCTGTGGGGTTGGGGATCCCTATGCAGTCCCTATGGGATCCCTATGGACTCCATGGGGCTGTGTGGGTACCTGTGGGGTCCCTATGGGGTTCCTATAAGGTCCCAATGGGCTCTATAGGGTCCCTATAGGTGCTATGGCTCTGTGGGGTCCCTATGTGCCCCAGTGTGTCCCTATGGGTGCTACAGTCCCTATGGGTCCCTGTGGTCCCTATGGACTCTATGGGGTCCCTGTGGGGTCCCTATGGACTCTATGGGATCCGTATGGGGTCACTATGGGTGCTATGGCTCTATGGGGTCCCTATGGAGTCTATGGAGTCCCTATGGAGTTCCTATGGTCCCTGTGGGCTCTATGGGGTCCCTATGGGGTCCCTATGGGTACTGTAGCTCTATGGGGTCCCTATGGGGTCCCTATGGGGTGCTATAGCTCTATGGGGTCCCTATGGGGTCTGTGGGTCCCTATGACTCTATGGGATCCCTATGGGGTCCCTATGGGTGCTATAGCTCTATGGGGTCCCTATGGGGTCCCTATGGGGTCCCTATGGGGTCCCTATGGGGTCCCTATGGGGTCCCTATGGGGTCCCTATGGGGTCCCTATGGGGTCCCTATGGGGTCCCTATGGGGTCCCTATGGGTGCTATAGCTCTATGGGGTCTGTGTGGGGTCTATGGGGTCCTTATGGGGTCTGTGGGGTCGCTATGGACTGTATGGGGTCCCTATGGGGTCCCTATGGGGTCCCTATGGGGTCCCTATGGGGTCCCTATGGGGTCCCTATGGGGTCCCTATGTGTGCTATAGCTCTATGGGGTCCGTGTGGGGTCTATGGGGTCCCAATGGGGTCTGTGGGGTCGCTATGGACACTATGGGATCTGTATGGGGTCCCTATGGGGTCCCTATGGGGTCCCTATGGGGTCCCTATGGGGTCCCTATGGGGTCCCTATGTGTGCTATAGCTCTATGGGGTCCGTGTGGGGTCTATGGGGTCCCAATGGGGTCTGTGGGGTCGCTATGGACACTATGGGATCTGTATGGGGTCCCTATGGGGTCCCTATGGACTCTATGGGGTCCCTATGGACTCTATGGGGTCCCTATGGAGTTCCTGTGGTCCCTGTGGGCCCTATGGGGTCCCTATGGGTGCTGTAGCTCTATGGGGTCCCTGTGGGGTCCCTGTGGGGTCCCTGTGGGGTCCCTGTGGGGTCCCTGTGGGGTCCCTGTGGGGTCCCTGTGGGTGCTATAGCTCTATGGGGTCTGTGTGGGGTCTATGAGGTCCTTATGGGGTCTGTGGGGTCACTATGGACTGTATGGGATCCGTATGGGGTCCCTATGGACTCTATGGGGTCCCTATGGAGTTCCTGTGGTCCCTGTGGGCTCTATGGGGTCTCTATGGGGTCCCTATGGGTGTTGTAGCTCTATGGGGTCCCTTTGGGGGTCCCTATGGGGTCCCTATGGGGTCCCTATGTGTGCTATAGCTCTATGGGGTCTGTGTGGATTCTATGGGGTCCCAATGGGGTCTGTGGGGTCGCTATGGACTCTATGGGGTCTCTATGGGGTCCCTATGGGTGCTGTAGCTCTATGGGGTCCGTGTGGGGTCCCTATGGGGTCCCTATGGACTCTATGGGATCCGTATGGGGTCCCTGTGGGCTCTATGGGGTCCCTATGGGGTCCCTATGGGTGCTATAGCTCTATGGGGTCCCTATGGGGTCCCTATGGGGTCCCTATGGGGTCCCTATGGGGTCTGTGTGGGGTCTATGGGGTCCCAATGGGGTCTGTGGGGTCACTATGGACTGTCCATATGGGATATGGGTGCTATGGCTCTATGGGGTCCCTATGGACTCTATGGGGTCCCTATGGAATTCCTGTGGTCCCTGTGGGGTCCCTGTGGGACTCTATGGGGTCCCTATGGGTGCTATAGCTCTATGGGGTCCGTGTGGGGTCTGAGGGGTCCCTATGGACTCTATGGGATCCGTATGGGGTCCCTGTGGGGTCCCTGTGGGCTCTATGGGGTCCCTATGGGGTCCCTATGGGTGCTATAGCTCTATGGGGTCTGTGTGGGGTCTATGAGGTCCTTATGAGGTCTGTGGGGTCACTATGGACTGTATGGGATCCGTATGGGGTCCCTATGGACTCTATGGGGTCCCTATGGAGTTCCTGTGGTCCCTGTGGGCTCTATGGGGTCTCTATGGGGTCCCTATGGGTGTTGTAGCTCTATGGGGTCCCTTTGGGGGTCCCTATGGGGTCCCTATGGGGTCCCTATGTGTGCTATAGCTCTATGGGGTCCGTGTGGGGTCTGAGGGGTCCCTATGGACTCTATGGGATCCGTATGGGGTCCCTGTGGGGTCCCTGTGGGCTCTATGGGGTCCCTGTGGGGTCCCTATGGGTGCTGTAGCTCTATGGGGTCTGTGTGGGGTCTATGGGGTCCCAATGGGGTCTGTGGGGTCGCTATGGACTCTATGGGATCCGTATGGGGTCCCTATGGGTGCTATGTCTCTATGGGGTCCCTATGGACTCTATGGGGTCCCTATGGAGTTCCTGTGGTCCCTGTGGGCTCTATGGCGTCCCTATGGGTGCTATGGTTCTGTGGGCTCCCTGTGGGCTCCCTGTGGGGTCCCTGTTGGGTCCCTGTGGGGTCCCTGTGGGGTCCCTGTGGGGTCCCTGTGGGGTCCCTGTTGGGTCCCTGTGGGGTCCCTGTGGGGTCCCTGTGGGTGCTATAGCTCTATGGGTTCCGTGTGGGGTCTATGGGGTCCCTATGGACTCTATGGCATCCATATGGGGTCACTATGGGTGCTATGGCTCTATGGGGTCCCTATGGACTCTATGGGGTCCCTATGGAATTCCTCTGGTCCCTGTGGCGTCCCTGTGGGCTCTATGGGGTCCCTGTGGTCCCTGTGTTGTCCCTGTGGGCTCTATGGGGTCCTTATGGGTGCTGTAGCTCTATGGGGTCCGTGTGGGGTCTATGGGGTCCCTATGGGGTCTGTGGGGTCCCTATGGACTCTATGGGATCCACTTCATTGAGAGCAAATGTGAGCGATTCATTAATTAACGGGGCAGTTCATTAGTGAGCGGGGGGGCGGGGCCAATTAACTGGGTGGGGTGCTGCTAATTCATGATGGGGGCCGCTAATTGGGGAGGGTGCTGCTGCTGATGGCGGGGGTGTAATTGGGGGGGGGGGGGCTTCTAATTAATTGGGGTGTGGCTCATCGAGGGGTGTTAATTGGGGGGAGGGAAGGGCTGCTAATTGGGGCGGTGCCACTAATTGGGGAGAGGGAGAAGTGCCAAAATAAGGCAAATAAAATGAATTTTGGCCTTTCCCCCTCCTCCCCAAATATGGGATTTAATTGCGGGGGAGGATTGGTTAATTTGGGGGGGGTTAATTAAGGGATGGGGATCATTATTGGGGGGGGGGGCATTGTGTGAGCCCCCCTCACCCGAGCCCAAACAACGACCCAAATAGGGCAAGTTTGGGCCTTTCCCTCCAAATAACGGCTTTTAATTTTGATGGGGGGGGGGGGGGGGGGGGTTAATTGGGGGATTAATTAAGGGGTGAGGGTTGTTAATTACGGGGGGGGGGGGGGAGGGGGTGCTTTTTAACACCTCCCCCCCCAGTCAAGCAGGATTCCAACCTCACCATCGGCGTGGAATTCGGTTCCAAGGTGGTGAATGTGGGAGGGTGCACTGTCAAGCTGCAGATCTGGGACACGGCCGGGCTTCAGGTGGGGGGGGGAGGCCCAAAATGAGGCCAAAAACAGCAGATTTGGGCAATTTGGGGTCGTTGGGGGCGGAGTCTGATGGATTTGGGGCTGTCGGGATCCAAAAAGTGGGAGAAATTGAGTGAAATTTGGGTCAAAAATAGGTGACATTTGGTCCATCTCCAAAATGGGGCAAAATGGGGCTGTTTTGGTCAACCCAGAGTCACCAGAATGGCCCCCATTTTTATGCCTCCCCCCCCACTTTTTGGTACCCCCCTCATTTTTATTCCCCCCCCCCCAATTTTTGGTTCCTCACCTCCATTTTTTATGTCCCCCCCCCCCATTTTTTTGCCCCCCCCCCTCCCCCCATTTTTGGTACCCAACCCCCATTTTTATGCCCACCCCCCCCCCCCCAATTTTTTGTACCCCCCCACTTTTTATGCCCCCTCCCCCCATTTTTGGTACCCCACCCCCCTATTTGGTGCCCCCCCCCCCGATTAACCCCTTCCCTCCCGCAGGTCTGTCACTCGCAGCCATTACCGCGGTGCCACCGGCGCTCTGCTGGTTTACGACATCACCAGGTCAGCCCCCCTCCGCTCCCCCCCCTCCCCCAAATAAAACCCAACCCGGCCCCCAAAATCCCCTTTTTTCCCCCCACACGGCAGCAGGGAGACCTGCAACGCTTTGACCCATTGGCTGACGGACGCACAGACGCTCTCCAGCCCCAACATCGTCATCATCCTCTGCGGGAACAAAAAGGACCTGGATGGGGAGCGCGAGGTCACCTTCCTGGAGGCCTCCACATTCGCACAGGAGAACGGTGGGGGGCTGGGGGGGCGCTTATGGGGGGCTTAGGGGACAATTATAGGGCACTTATGGATGGGGAGCAGGAGGTCGCCTTCCTGGAGGCATCCGGATTCACACGGAATGGTGGGGGGCTGCTGGTGGGGCTTGTGGGGCTGAGGGGGCACTTATGGGACACTTATGGGGCTGGGAGGGCACATAGGGGGCGCTTATGGGGCTGGGGCCTTATGGGGTGCTTATGGGGCACTTACGAGTCCCTTACGGGGCCTTTGGGAGACACTCATGGGGCACTTATGGGATGCTTAGGGGGCCTTTATACAGTGTTTATGGGGCGCTTATGGGGCTGGGGGCACTTACGGGGCTGGGGAGGTGCTTATGGGGTGCATATGGGGCCTTTATGGGGTGTTTATGGGGCACTTATGGGGCTGGGTGGTGCTTATGGGATGCTTATGGGACCTTTATGGGGTGTTTATGGGGCGCTTATGGGGCTGGGGGGCACTTACAGGGCTGGGGAGGTGCTTATGGTGTGCATATGGGGCCTTTATGGGGTTTCTATGGGGCGCTTATGGGGTGCTTATGGGACCTTTATGGGGTGTTTGTGGAGCACTTATGGGGCTGGGGAGGTGCTTATGGGATGCTTATGGGGCTGTTATGGGGTGTTTATGGGGTGCTTATGGGGCTGGGGGGCACTTATGGGGCTGGGCAGGTGCTTATGGGGCCTTTATGGGGTGTTTATGGGGTGCTTAGGGGGCACTTATGGGGCCGTGGTGGCGGGGTTACATCCTGTGTACCTCAATCCCCTGCCACAGCCCACTCCAGCCCCGTGTGCCTCCCTGCACCCCAACAGCCTTCTGCAGCCCCCCACAGCCCCCCACAGCTTCCTCGCCCCCTCTATTTCCCCTCAGCCCCCTCTCTCTCTCCCTCAGCTCCCCAGAGCCCCATACGGATCCCACATCCACCCCACATCCACAGCCCGTCCCATATTTATCCCACTTCCCCACACCCCATCCTGTCTCCATCCACATCCCCACATCCCAGCCCCGCTCCCAGCCCCTCACCCCACACGGAGGTGGCTGATGGCTGCGCACGCTTCCTTCCCTGTCCTGGCGCCGCTCTCCATCCCTCCCGGCTCCAGCTCTGCTCTCCTCAGCACCGCTCCCGCCGTGCCGCGGCTCCGTCTCGGTGCTGCACGGAGCTCCAGCGCGCAGCGGCTGTGGGACCGGCACCGTCTGAGGGGAGAGCCGGCTGCCAATGGCCGTTCCTGCGCCATGCACCTCAGCCAATTGGACCCGGCGGCGCTGCCGCTGACCAATCAGAGGCACGAACTGGCCGGAACTGGCCCTGACCAATGAGAGGCCGGGGGCGGGGCAGAGCTGTGATGGGGGAGGGGCTCGGGGTGTTTTTCTGGGAGAAAACCCCACATTTCAATGGGTAAACAGGGATTTCAGGGAGAAAAACCCAGATTTTAGGGGAAAAAGAGGGATTGAAGGGGTTTTCTCCCAGAAATCCCTGTTTTTGCTGTTCAATGTGGGGTTTTCTCCCAGAAATCCCAGTTTTTTCCCTTAAATCTGGCTTTTTCTCCCAGAACTCCCTGTTTTTCGCCTTCACTGTGGCTTTTTTCCATTGACAGTGTCCCTGCTCCAGTGCCACCCTTATTGTAACAGACTTCTCCCATATGTCCAATCTAAACTCTCTGTTTCCCCTTCTTTCTTGCAGCCCCCCTCAAGATCCCACAGGCCAGAAGAAGAACACGGCAGCACACACGTGTGCATGTGCATCGAGGCCTTTGCACAAGGCTGTGTGGGTTTGCACACATTCGCGTGCATTCGGGCGGTGTGTGCACACAGGTGCGCAAGGATGTGCACGCGTGTGTGTGATTGCACAGGGGTTGTGGGAGTGCGTCAGAAAGTCCTTGGAGCAGCAGCTCATGGATGCCGTGGACAAATCGGGCCGTGCGCTCCATGTCCATCTCTACTGGTGATGTTTTTATTGACTACAACCAAAGTTGGAGTGCCGAGTTGGGCGGCACTCGGAACGCTGCCCTGCAACGCCACGCACTGCAGCGCTGCCTGCTGATGCTGCTCCTCTCAGTCGTTCAGCTGCAGCTTCTGCATCATCTCCACCAGGCTGTTCATGGCGGAGGACTGGAAAGAAACAGAGCGAGTGTAGAAACAGGACAGTGCTTCCCTCCGGAAATCTCTTCCGTGTCTGACAGTCGGAGGCCCTGAGAACAACAAGAGCCGTGTCTGTGCTCACCGAGGACTCACCTCTGCACGTGCAGCTGCAGCTCTCAGAGAAGCCTTTTTCAGTTCTATTCAGTTCTACGTGGGACTCACCCATGGGGTGAATGGGGTTCATTGAATGGGGGTGAAATGAAGGAAAGCCACAGAGAAGTGAAGATACCCTTGTGCAGCCCAGTAAAAAGGCAGGATGGCCTCGTAGTGGTCAGCGGGGTCCCAGGGGAACAAGTAGGAGCTGGGAGGAGTGCACAGCAATACGGAGCAGCAAAGTGCAGCATGGCCAAGTGACAACCAGTAAGGAGCAGCACGGCCTCAGAGCGGTCAGTGGAGCCCTGTAGGAATCATCAGAAAGCAACAGGAAGGCACAGCTGTGCCCAGGGCCGGTGCCGGCCTCTGCCTCTGGCTTCGGGCCCTCGGCCTGGTGCCGGCCTTTCAGGACTGGCTTTAGGCTCCACGGCCGCTGCCAGCCCGCCCGGCTGTAGGTGTGGCTGTCAGCCCCGGCTCTGGCGCTGCCCCTGTGGCTGTAACCGCGGCATTATGGGCCAGGGCTGGTGCTGGCTCTCTGGCTGGAGCTTCAGACTTCAGGGCCGGCTCTCAGGCTGTGGCTTCAGGTCCCTTGGCCGCTGCCAGTCTCTCTGGCTGTGTGTTTCGGCCCCAGGGCCACTGCTGGCTTCTCTGGCAGCATCTTTAGGCCCAGGCCGTGTGCCAGCCTCTCTAAGTGGGGCCGTGGCTGTGAGCCCCTGGGCTGGATGCAGCCTTTTGGGCTCTGGCCCAAAGTCACCAGGCCTGGTTCCAAATTGTAAGAAAACATGAGGGCCGCCCAATGGCGTTATCTGAAGTAACAGAACAGAGAAATTCAGATGACTCTTGTGTAACCAGCCTGGGTCATCCTGTCGCTCAGGCACTGTGTGACCAGACCCAGGAGATGTTGCCCCCAGGCTGCCCCCAGACTGAAGGCTGGAAGGATTTGGGCTCCCAAGCAATCAGCCAGCATTCGGATGAGTCAGCCCTCTGGTTTTTGTGAGGACAGACGAGCCCACCTTGGAAAGCCATCTGGGCAAAGGCAGAACAGCTTTGTTCTTGGGCCGCAGCACTCCATGGCCAGGTGCTGCTCAAAAGCTGGGCCTGCATTTCCTCCTGGGCATCCTCGCGTGCTCTGAGTCCGCTGCAGCTTTCTGCAGGGTCGGTGGCTTCCTGCTGAGGAGCTCCTCGTGTTCTTCTGCAGCTGCCCCCCAGCATCACTGCTGCCTCCTCTGGTACCACGCCAGGAGATGCGTCAGCGTCCATCAGCCTGCACTTCCTTCCTCCCAGCAGCAGCTGCTCCTGCACTGACCTCCATTCACACTGGATGCCGTCCACTTCTAGCGCCAGCTGACCTGTGAGACAGAGAAAGGAAATGTGGCATTGGCACAAATGCAGACGCCCGAGGCTGTGCCACCACCACGTACTGCAGCCTTGGGAAGCCAGCTGCCACTGCAAGCTTGGTCAGAATTAAAGCAGGCACTTGTAAATTAAGTGTGACTTCTGAACTGAAGGAATTGCCACAATCAGAAATAAATACTGAAATCACTTACTGAACTGTAGGTGGTTACCTCTGATCTCTTTTGCTTTTGGGAAAATGTGGACTTGGAATTGCAGGGTACGAGAAAAATGAGGAGCACTTGGCAACTCAGGCAAACTGAGCAGTGCAGGGAAGATTGTTGCACTTCTTCTTCTCCTGGCCCAGAAATGAGTTTTCCTACCTTTAAATGAAAAGAGAAGAAGAGCCTGACAGAGTAGACACGTTACAGTCTCACATCATGGGTGGAAGCTGGAGAGCTCTCATGGCACAAAGCTCAGGGCTGCCGAAATTAAGGGTGCCTCTAAGCTTTAAAACAAGGTGAAAGACAAGGTGGAATGCGAAACATCGGCACTTCCTGCAGAGCTCATCACACAGCTGTAGGCAGCGCCTGAGCTAACAGTCAGGTCAGAAAGGAAAACCTGACTATGTGAACACAGGCACAAGCTGCTCTCTTCTTCTGGGCCTTTGTCCACAGTGAGGATTTCCCCAAGAGCGCCGCTCAGGCTGCTGCTGTCTCCAGCTGTTGGTCACTTCCACTGCTGGACGCTGTGCCCACAGCTCATTCTGCAAGAAGCTCCGCTCTCAGAGCAGCAGCCAAGAGCCAGAAGGCAGAAAAAGCTGCCAGTCCCCATGGATGTGGCTGTTTGCTTCAGCACGGTGACGCTCACCCAGCAAAGCCCTCACCCAGCAGATGCCTTTCCTTACACTCAGGGCTGCCTCACGTTTGTGCAGCCCTTGGCACTGCATTTCCAATCCAAGCTCACATAGATCTCAGCCATTCCTTCTGTGTCAGTCTACTTGGATCCCCAGTTAGGGCTGCAGCTCAAGAGCTCAACAGGAGTAGCACAGCACGCAACTGGAAAACACAGCTCAAGGCTGAGAAGAGCCACCTCTGACCTTGGGCACAACTCACCAAGAGCCAGGCCTTGCAAACTTGGCTGATCTGAGCATGCGAGAGGGGGCTGGCAATCAGACCAGCAGTGTCCATTTCCATTGCAGCTCCGTGTGGAGGAGAACGCCAAACAGCAACAGGGGTGGATGAGTTCATTCCCAAGCTGCGCAAGGAGTTTGTTCTTGATTTAACAAAGCATGCCTTCCAAGTCAAAAAGCGAACAGCAGGAGTTGCTATCAATGGAAGACGTTCCTATTCCCACACCTCATCCTCCTACCACAGCTTTCCTTGCCTCGCCCCTTGCCCCAGCTCCTGGAAAATGCCCGCAGACTAAAAGTCAGCTCTCAAATCCATAGACTCTTTTCCCATTGCTCCATTAAAAGAAGACTTCAGACTTGTTTCATGCACTCCAACTGACCGAGCAGTGGTACCACAATCACTCCTAACACACGGAGGCCATTCTCAAAGGCTTCCAACAACTCCTGCCCCAAGACCAACATCTCCACCAGGAAACAAATCCACAGCACAGTCTCTTTGAACTACTATCATATCAGGAGCATTTCTGGTGGTAGAAAGGCACAGCAAATAGTCCATCAGAGACATTCTGGCACATCTCCCGTGAAAAACAGCATTATCCAAACACCTGTGTTTCTAAAGATGGAAAACATCCAGTAAGCAGCAACGAGAGGCTCTGTTTTTAAATCTTTCCAAAGGGAGAAGTGTTCATGTCCACTTTTCCTGACCACACCAACACGGCCCCAGCTGTCAGAGCCCTTCTGCCATAGCACAAGCAGACTGCACGCACATTGAAGAGCGCGCACAGCCCCTCCTGAGCTCCTGGAGCCCAAGGCAAGGCAAGAGGCGGCAGCCAGAGGACAGGACATTCTCCATTTATTCTCCTTCTGTTGCAATAATCTGACTTAGCCTAACTTTCCTGGATGTTTCTCAATTATCACATCTGTGTATTCATTGATTATACATTAGGTTACATTATAATGTACGTGCTGGAAATTGTCTCCATATTAAGCCACATCATCATCTGCTTTCCACTAATTTTTGTTCTTTGCAATAGGCATCATAGGTGAGACTGACCTGGAAAGTGAACGTGTGACGACTTGGAAAATCAACCCACTGCTGGGGAGAAAACTGCAGGACACCCTCTGCAGGTTCCTTCCCCATCCGCCTGGGGCAGTGGCAGCAGAGCTGAAGATGAGAGTCCAGAAGGCACTCAGACAGAAGTGAAAATCCAAACCGTGAAGATAAGAATGAAGTCTTTGCAGAAGTTTGTGCCACTGAATTCAGAGAACTGTTCTCAAGCCTCGAAGACATGACTGTTTTCATTGGCGAGGAATCAAACGTGCAGCAGAGGAAACACTCTCTGGCTCCTTTCCCTGTGCCCCAGGTCTGTTCTGACACTGGCAGCGAGGCGCAGATCTTGTGTTTCTCAGGGGGAGAAAGGAGTTACAGCTGAATCCAAACCTCGAGTCGGCTTGGGCTGGTAAAATCCCTCCTACAGTGTAGGTACGAATGAATGGATTTCAGGGAGAGATTTCAAAGAAAACCAGCATGTTTGATGGAATGATTCAACTTCAAAGCTGTATCAGTCCCTTTAGTCACCTGTTGTGCAACACCAAAAATGAAAACAAAACCCCACCTGCAGGGCAAAACTGACATAAGGTGAAAATTGAACGGGTTTTGGAGCTATTTCAACATTTTTCCCTTATTTTTCCAGCTCAGGGAATGAGAAGAAGCTCTAAAGGACCTAGAAGCCTCTGCAGGAATTTAGGGATGCTGATTGCCTGAAGTGCCATTTGACTTGGTGTTTGTTATCTGGAGCCATCGTGTGTTTGCCAGCTGTATGGGAACTGCAGAGTCACGGCCTGAACTCTGATTGATCACCTGAGGCGAGCCGTGAGTCAGCCAGAGGAGCACAGGTGAAGGCAATGCAGCTGTGCTGCCGGAAGGGCTGGAGCCAGGCTGCACCCCTCCAGACCTGTTGAAGAGCTGGCTGCCAGAGGGGAAGGATCTCTGCTGGAGATCGCCTCTCTTGGTGTTTTGTGGTGAGCCCAGATGAAGGGTAAGCCTCCCATCTTGTTCTCTTTTGTTGTCATTGTCCACTTTGCCTAACTCTCTTGATTATATTGTAACATCCTGATATCCATTGATTATACAATTGTAACATCTTGATATCCATTGATTATACAATTGTAACATCCTGATATCCATTGATTATACGATTGTAACATCTTGATATCCATTGATTATACAATTGTAACATCTTGATATCCATTGATTATACGATTGTAACATCTTGATATCCATTGATTATACAATTGTAACATCTTGATATCCATTGATTATACAATTGTAACATCCTGATATCCATTGATTATACAATTGTAACATCTTGATATCCATTGATGATTACACACTTGGCGAGCCAGGCAGGCTGAATATACTAAAATTAACATCATGTCTTTTCTTTGGAATTTCTATAAAGGGGTCAAGGGGGAGAACAATACGCCTCTAGAGAAAATGATTCCAGGGCAGATCCCAGGATTTGAGGGATCGCCCTATTATGAGTTAGCTGCTATCATTGAAAAATGGGGTCCCTTACGCGTTATGGGCAATATCTCCCCATATCGCATGGCGGACTATTTTCAAGGACTTGGCAAGGATGTCCTCGTTACTAAAGAAAGACAACTGGCTGCCTCCATGGTGGCATGGCCATTATTAAGTGCCTTAAATCATGCGGATGTAAGAAATAATACTTTAGAAACTGAAAATCAACTTTTGAAAGACCGCATTGAAAAGCTGGAGCACAAACTTGGCGTTTTAACAGGGAAGAAGCCAATTCTACATCTTCTCGTAGGCCAAATTCATAACATTTCAATAAATGATGACCAGACTCCTGAATCAACAGACTTTGTTGATCAGGAGAACAAGAAATCCAAATCAGACCTTGAATGTCCAAATCTGACCAATCCACTGGAAGTCTGTCCTGTCATAACCCAGAAAACAAAAAAAGTACAGGACAGACCGGCAGG